ACCAGGGCATTCAATCCTCTTTCAAACACTTCATCATCTGAATGCACCTGCAGGGTTATTGAGTTGGGAGCGTAGAGGTAACGGGAAAAGCAAAGGGAAGGGAAGATGGGTTGGAGAAAAGGGCGAGCAGGTAGGGAAAAGAATGCGATTAAACTTGAAATCAGAAGATAATCAGCAATGCACAGAATGTAAAGCATAATCCTCAATGCAGGACATTTAGAAACAGAAGACAAATTTTCAATCAGACTGAGCATTAGTTCAAATATATCTGGCATACAGAAAGGATAATTTGAGGTTCATTACTTTCTCTAATTACTCAAGACGTCCCTTTTTTCCTTCAGTGACTGCTCTAAAGCTATTTTTAAGGATATAATCACCTCGCATGGATTAACAGTGGTGTAATTCTGCGTATATCTCAAAACCACAGATAAAGGACTAATTTGCAAATAGTATGAAAAGAAAAAAAGGCATAAAATACTTTAAATATATTATAGTTTTCTTTTCCATTATGTGTTTTGAAATAGAAAGCACAATGCAATAAATGACGTACCAGGGCTGCCCTTAGCACAGGGATCAGTCTCGGGAGCAAAGGCACAGCTTTTTCTGGAGCACCACTGACCAGAAGTAATTCTCTAAAACCTTCCTTTGACACAAAGGTATATGGATGTTTAGTCTCTCTCAGACCCTGCCAAAAACAAAATCAAATAAAAAAAAAAAAACAAAAAACCATTCGTTATGCTAGTAACAGAAAAATTAAATCCTTACTAGTTTAAGCAAAAATCCAAAATTTGATCATTACTGTTTTCCTAATTATGATACACAAGTACAATTTCAGCAATTCCAATTTCGATTTCATTGAAAAATTGTGGAACAAAGAACATATGGTGGTCCCTCTGTATTTGAGATTGGTTCCCGTACCCCACGGATATTGAAGTCTGTGGACGCTCAAGTCCTTTATATAAAATGGCATGACCCATGCACATACTCTGCTATGCTTTAAATGTCTCTAGACTACTTATAATACCTAATACAATGCAAATGCTATAGAAGTAGTTGTTACACTGTTATTTGCATTATTTTTATTGTATTTTTATGGTTTCTTTTGTAAAACAGTTTTGATCTGTATTTGGCTGAACCTACAAATGTGGAATCCACAAAAACAGAGGATTCTGACTCTATCCACAGAAAGGAAAGGAAGGTGAAAGAAGAAAATAATAAAAGAATAGGAAAAAAGAGAGGAGAGATCACAAAAAATAAAGTGAAGAAGAAAAAGTAGGCGGGAAGAAAAAAGCAGAAACCAAAGGGGAAAAAAAGGAAGGTAAATAAAAACAGAGAAAAATGGAGGGAAAAACCTTCATTAGAATAATAAAAAAGCTGATGTGCTCTCATAAAGTCTGAAAGCACACAAATCAGTCTAAACTGAATTTACAACCACTACTTTATGAATGCTTAACTACTGGATTCCCTGCATTTACTATGATTTGAAACTTACTCAGTGAGTTTCTAAAGTATATTTCCTTCATATTTCAGTATTTTATACTGAGATATTTAGAAGGCAAATATTGTACCGTATGCAAAAAAGCACTGCGAATTTTTCAATATCATTTTTAACCTTGGAATGAAATATAAAAATACGAAAAAAAGACTTGTGGACATTATTTCTTGTTTTCACTCTAAATGTATCAGAAGCAACTGCTACTCTTTTATGATTGAACCAACCACTGAGAGTCAAGATAAAAGAGCCATCTAACTTTTCCTGAAAAGATAAAGCAAAATGAAAACAGCACTAGCAAACTCTTTAAGTCTGCGAAGTAAATAAGTATTGACTGTGAAATCTGCAAAGTACAGAAGTATTTACTGTGAAGTCAGGAGTAGAATCAGCTGCACAGTGATCTCAGACACACTCGTTCTGAGCCCATTCGTCCCTGAGACCGGACTGCCTGTAACAGTGACCGAACAGTTCCTCTCCTCGATGCCACCGTGCTTTCAGAACCATGCTGCCCAACACACGGGCATCGAATGGGATTTACCCACAAAATAACATGTAATGCAGTTTTAAAATAGTTTTTCCCATAAAGATGATAGACAGATGGCATATTTACCTCAGCTAAAGTAATGAGAAGAGGATCAAATGGAAGATTTTCAGGAGGACATTCCCACTGTAATCTGTGTTTTACTGACCCATGTATCAATCTAAAATACAAAAGTCAAAGCAACAGGAAAATGTAATCCCAATCACATATTAAAACGAAATCAGCTGACACACATACTTTTTGTAGAGTATAGCTCTATCCAGACTGTCTTGTAACATGTAGGAATACTGTGACTTCAAAAGATACTACAAGGACATTTGACAAGGCCATGCTACCGATGGTCCCTCTTCCAGCAAAACTGTCAGGTAACCCCACATGTGTCACGTCTACGGTTTTGGTTCTGAAACATGTTGCTATCTCTGAACGTTAATACAAATGTTCCAGGTGATAGCTTTCAGTCATAAATTACAACACAACAGGTAACCTACAGAAAATGAAAAATGCAATCAAAATATAAGAAGAAAAAATGTTTTATAAGGAACACTGCTTCCAGATATGGATCAGTTAACCTTGACACTGAGAAAGCAGCACAGATTTTATCCCAGGCTGGATAAGTTTTATATGTGAAAACACCCGAGAAATGACCATCACAATCACATCGGAGAACTTATTCATCACATCGAATGCTTCCTCCTGTTTCTTTGGGAGGCTCCTGACTTCTCGACTCCTCTTACAGACTTATTTTCATAATATCAAGATATCTCTATGACACTGTTTTTATATTTTTTCAACAATAAATTGCTGAGGGGGGTTGTTAAGAACTTTAAAATAGGGCTTCAATTCAGGATAGAAATGTAAAATATTATTAATAATTAAATTGGCTTGGCGCCTGTGGCTCAAGT